ATAATTCTTGTTGCCAGTATTCGACTATGTTTTGATTTACAAAATAAGAAAAAATGCAAGCATATCTGGTTTTTATTTTAGAAATTTCTTGAAGACGAGTTAATAGTATACGAACGTTTCTAAACATATCTTTATTTTTCTTTTTGGCACTGTTTAGTATTTTCAAAAGAACGTTTCATTTCCTCTTTAAGAAAATTACTATAGTCTCTGATAAATTCTTCTAAACTATTAAGTGTAGATATAGAATCAGTTTTAAATGAAATATCTATGTCGTTACAAGCATTCCAATAATGAAACGCTTTATCAACTTTATTGAGGTCTAAGCACTTATATTCTTGTTTCTTCCAATTTGTTTATGCTAAACGAATCTTTCATAATAGTACAGGTATTACTGATCATACTTTCAAACCAAGGATTAACTTCTACTATATGTGGGGTGTGAATGTGGGTGTCCATACATCATTCGTTAGAGACAACCACCCATATCCACACCCTATTTCACGTTCAATATTTAATTTAAGATCATAAACATGTCAATAAAATTCATTTCTTAAATAAGCTTCTCATGACAGACTCATTTTCTTTTCTTTTTTTTTAATAATAGAAGCGTCAAAGCGTATACTAATCCAAAAAATATTCTATATTATCTAGATAAAAGTTTTTCAGACAAAAGAAAAAGTTGAAGAAAGAACACAAGAAAAAAAAAATAATAGAAAATAAAATGCAGAAAGAAAAAAAGAAACAGATTGTAAATGTAGTAAAAATTTACATCTTCTTCTTTTTCTTCTCATAAATGATGTACATCTAAAAATAAATATAATTTATTAAATTTTTTTTTTTACATATTCAAGTTCCATCTTATCCGAATTGGAAACATCGTTTACCAACAACATCTGAATTAGCTGAACAAGAACAGGCATTATTAAGTATAACTATAAAAGAAGGTCTTAATTCTGTACCAACAACACAAAAAGAGAAAAACAATTCTACTATACTTTTATCACCAAGTCTATTATTTTACATTGTTGTTGTTACGTTTTTTATTTATTTCATTTTCAATAATAATAAAATCTCTTCTATTTTCTGGACCATCCGAATTCAATTTTGATGAAGTTTATGTGAGTGCACCTATCATAAAATTTTTATCTGTACTGAAAAACCTTGATCAATTTATTATCGTTCAAATTGACGTAGGTCTTTTTTGTCTTCTTTAGGAAACTTTTTTTTTCGAACAATATTTCATTTAGATCGACTCAGCTGCATTAAAAATGATATCACAATTATCTCAAGTTATACCAGGAAAATCTCATCTACAATTTCCAATAACATTTGAACCAACACAAATTGGTCTTTATCAACTTTCATTATTATATATAATTAATAATTTTTATCAACATTATGTTAAAGTTATAATTGATGTTTGTTTACCAACTGTACAATTATCAACAGACAAACTTCTTATACGTTCATTACCACATATTTTAGCTGAAGATTCATTTCGAAAAGTTGTTCATTTATATAATCCATTAAATGCACCGGCTAAATTTCGTTGAATACCAATTATTGGTCCAAAAGGAACAGCATTTTCAATTCGTCCAGCAACAGGTCCTTACGGTTTATTTTAATTATAACAAACAATAAAAAAAAAGCTTCTTTTAGGAGCCATTGAACCATATCAAACTATTGATGCTGAGGTTATTTGGTATGGTAGTACACAAGCAGTATTGGAAAACTTTTTTTTACTGTATACATTTTTTTAATAAATGATTCGCGAACTAACCACCAGCAAATACAAATTCTTTAATGCCAAGTAATCAAGCAAAATTTAAAATTCCAGAAAAAAGTATTCATTTTGGTTCGATACCAATAAATATAACATCAAAAAAATCGTTTGCTATCATTAATGAAGGAATAAATTATCTTTTTGGTCAAATATTAAATCATTTTATTTGATATTTTTCTTTTTTTTTTTCGAATCAAAAGAAAAATTGTTTTATTATTTTTTTTTCGTCAAGATTATTGATTCAAGTCTATGTGCAGGTGTTGTTGTAAATCCAACAAATGATCTTGTTTCAACTGGTTTACAAACAAGTATAACCATTTAAGTAACACCAATTGAATTAATTAAATTCGATATTAAATTTGGCTTAAGAGTTCTAGGAGAACATGAACAAGAAATTTATATGACAGGTGAAGTTATCGAACCAAATTTAAATATTCCTGAAAGTGAAATTAATTATGGTGGTGTATCAATATTAATGAAAGTATCAAAATAATTTCATATTGATAATAAGGTAGGAATAAGAAAAATTTACTTTAAAAATTTATTATGTTCTCTAAAGATTTCTTATTTTTTTACTAATTAAAAAAGAAGTTTCAACGAAATGAGATCCGACTTTTAAGTCTATAACTTTGTTCTTTTTGTTTTGATTACATGAATTAATTAGCGAAAATATGTTTTTATTTTTATTCGTAAAACAGAAATAAATTACAAAAAATAAAATTTTAGCCCCTCTTTATGCGAAGGCATTTATCTGGTCGCAAATGTTTTTTAACACAAATATTTGGATGACAACAACGTCCAATACCAAACTTACATGGGACACATTGACCTGGTGATTGTGCTGGATCATCACGATGTCCACGATGAAATATATCTCGTTTGGATATAAGATGATTGTCATCGATGAAATCGAGATCATTATTTTCCATATCCGATAAGACAACAGTTAAAAACAGACCAAGAAAGAAAGCAATAATTAATATACCTGTTAGCTTCATAGTTAAAAATGATAGAAACAATGTTAGGAAAAAACAAGCGAGTATTTATATCTATAGCCATCCAACGCTTGTCAATCAACACTTAGTAAATAGAAACATTTATTAAGTGATGATAGGGTAGATAAAGAGTCGAAAGAATCTTACGTCGAACAATATATAAATATATTTTTAGAAATGTACACAAGTTGAATCAGTAGACTTGACGAATAATGGAGTATCTGCCTGTTGTTTGAGGTATTTACGTATATACTTAGGGCAATCCAAAAGTAGTGTCGTCAAGGACATATTTCCTTATAGTAAGCTAAGAAAAAATTTCTTTTTTTACTAATAGATAGAGCGTCTTTCACTCTATCTTTCCATGCTATTTGATCATACTTCAACTAATATCATGATAATAAACTTTCGATAAGATTTATTTCCTTAGCGTTTGTGCTAGTGGTATTTTTCCATTGCAGTTTTCAAATCATTAACACGTTTGTATTAAAAAGCAAAATATACCATTAGATGCAGCACGAAAAGCTCTAGAATTTACGTAAGATCATCTACTTTATCGTTGCACTTTTTATCTACGAATGGATCAAAGTTTGGAGAAATTGAACTGCTACAGTGACGAAAGCTAATTTTTGATAAACGACAAACTCATTTTTTTTGTTATTTCATCTTTCTTCTTCTGATATGCTTCATAAAAGTAAAACAAAATACACTAGAAGATGCAGCGTGAAAAGCTCTACAATCTGTGCACTAAAACTTTTTGTAATTGTTTTCGAAAGAGCGCAAAATTCTGTGCGATCTGTTTTCGAAACATCAAAAATTGTTCGTTCAAAACTTTGTTCATTTTAAAAACAAAAAGTACAAAGATAAAATAGGCGTTCCCATCTAAATTGTAGAGCTTTTCATGCTGTATCTAATGGTCCATTTGAATTTTGAACACTATGTATTAGTGGTTTGAAACTTGTAATGGAAAACATGTTTATTTAACCTCTGTAACCAGAGTACATGCTAAAAAAATAAATCTTATCGAAAGTTTATTAGCATGATATTAGTTGAAGCATGATCAAATAGCATGGAAAGATAGAGTGAAAGATGCTCTATCTATTGGTAAAAAAAAGAAATTTTTTCTTAGCTTACTATAAGGAAATAAATCCTTGACGACACTACTTTTGGATTGCACTAAGTATATCAATCATCAGTAGTTTTTATGATAAGACAAGGTTAAAGTGCGATAGATTTACACAGATGTATTTTTAGTAAACATCGTAATATGCAAAGCTAGAAAGATAGTATGCTTAGAAAACAGTTCGATCAAACAAATTATAATTGTTTTGATGATATGTTTCGTTTTGTTTAACGAATAATAAGATTTAATTGAAAATTACGAATGAAATTTAGGAACAAATTCAACTGGTTTGCTACATATGATTCTGTTCTTTTTTTTCTATCGATTATAACATTAATAACATGCGCGGAGGAGTATATACATGAGAATATGGTCAGCTACCTTAATTTCGAATGTTTATGAATCGTAATAACTACTTGTCTTAAACTCGAGAATAAAACGGTCGTCGTTCCTCACAATTCCACAAGACGGGTGGGTGTGGGGTGTGGGTGTGGCGTGGGTGTGGTGTGGGTGTGGATGTGGGTGGGGTGTGGATGGGTGTGGGTGTGTAGGGTGTGGGTGTGGGTACGCTGAACGTTTAAGAAAGAGCTTTAGACACCCACACCTCACACCGACACCTACACCCACACACCGACACCCACACCCACACCCACACACCCACACCCACCCACACCCACACCCCCACACCCACCCACACCCACACCCACACCCTATTTAATAAGTATAACAGATTGAGATTTATCTTAAATATATAAATAATTCCTCTATTCAGTTAAACGTATCTATCGATAAATAAATGATCTTTGACATTTATTTATAGAGTTTCAAAAGAAGAAAGATATGATAAATGATAAACGACAAAAACAAAAAAAAATTGAATAGAAGTTCAAATGATAATAATGACAAGTAAAAGAAAAGTTAGATTTGTTGTATGGTTAAAGACTTTATTGATTTAATTTACTTAGCCAATTTGAAGGACAATTTTACAATAATTATCTAAAAATTTATATAAGTATAAAATAAATATAAACGAATGATATAATTTAGTTACTGTAAGAATCAAACAAGCAATGCAAATCATAATAACGACGAAAATCCCTATTGAAAGACCAATGGTGAAATTTTTGTTCTCAACATGATTATTTATGTTTGTGCTAGAAGTGAATGCAACAAGAAGAAGAATCAAGAAAATCCCCATTTCAATAACAAATAGAACCATTCCAATTATACCAAGCCAAGCAAACTATAGATTTACAATATAAATATATTTGTTTTAATTAAAATCTATTATTGATAAACAATTCATTTAATATTTTATTTTAGCTTATTTCCAGAAATCTTCAAAATCAATTTCTATTTATTAGATTTCCAAACAACTACCACTATCAACAGTCGCTTTTTATAAATTTATTTTTTTCTCATGAATCTCAGCTCGGTATTCATTTGTTTTATCAATATATCTATGACTCCGAATAAGTTTATTTAGTAAACAAATATATATTGTAAAACAAATGAAAAAGTATTGAGTTTAATGAAGATCTATCATCTCAATTGCATAAAACTATACTTTAAATAAACTGAAATAATCATTACTTTTTATTGCATTCGATTGATAAATCTAAAATACTTGCAAATATTTTATTTCTTATAATGACTAAAACGAAATGAAAAAGAATATTTTAGATGAATATGCTTTTCAAACATATTTCTTCAGTAGAAGATTCGTCGAAATAAATTATTCTATTTGACAATAGAATTCGACTCATCATTTATTAAAATAAATTTGATTGAAATTTTCTTCGAAAAAATTTTTCAAATCAAATCTCTTTTTTTCGATTAGAATAAAATTATTTTACTTGAATTATATATGATAAGAATAGTATAGCTATTAAAAGTAAAAACATACCACTCGTAAACCTGTTTCATAAAATCGATAAGTGACGAATATTCCAAATCTATAGAAAATAACTGATATAAGAGATTGACCAATTTGTGCACCACGTTGAGTTCCTTGCATACGATTAGAAATTCCATTTCCTGATATGATATTTATTGTTCCGATTACAGAAAAAGCCTTAAATATTATATAGAGTTCTAAGATTTATTTAAAATAGATCGTTTGAATTTCTATCGATAAATATTGAAAATATTTCTAAGACCATCCGTATTCTTAGACGGTAACTATTACAAATTATCCTATAATTTGTATCGAATAAATTCATTTTCATAAGTATGTCGGTAGATAGAAATAAAATTACAATAATGCAAATAAATCTTTTCTTTCTATAATATATTATGTCTAAATTCAAAGTGAGAATCATTTTACTTTTATCAAATAAGATAAACATTGATCATTAATAGTTCTGCATAATATGCATTGTTTTAATAATATGGTTTCTTTGATTTCTTTCTGGCCTCCCATTGAGGGTTCATGAAAAAAGACGAGTAGAGAGGATCGATGTAAAAATAAAAAAAGAGGAAAAGTAGGATGGTCTTATTTCAATCTTTGAGATCATAAAAAAAGGACTCAAAATGAAGGAAAAACTCCAACATTACAAAACTGATCCTTTATTAATCTCTGTTTGATAGTAGTTTTAAATATAACGGATATTGCAGAAGTTCCTGGAAAAATATCCGACTGTTCTATTTGAAGAGAAGATAATAGAAAGATAATTCTTTTTTTTTTTTATTAGATAGAACTTGATTTCTACTTTAAAAGCACATGTTTGACAGACTTCTATCCATATACTAGTAGCAAAATATATTCGGTTTTTATAAATCTTCTAAAAAGCAGGCCGCAACATTTTAAACAGTAAACAAAGACATGTGCTTGTGAGCTGAAATGACTTCTATGTTGTGTCATTCCTCAAAGACCACCTAAAGAAATTTTCAGTTTATGCAAATCTTTCTTTATTGAGACTCATTTTCTTAAAATAATGTCGGCATATATTCCGAAACTTTTTGTAAAAGTAAGTATTCCAGTTTCAAATATCTAATTAACTTAGGACAAAGAATTTAGTAAAGTTTTTCTGATATTCTTCTAGTTTGTGAAAATCGGTATTTAAAGTGATAAGAGTTTGAAACAATTGATACACATCAATTTCCAAAACTGTAAAAATGACTTTTTTTTCTGCCAACAGTAAATGATAATAATCAAGGTTTTCAATAGTTTGGGTGTGGTAAAAACTTATATCATTTTGTATATAACGTGTAAAATGGAGTCCAAAATATTGCATTTAAGGTAAGATATTGAACTTTTTTTCGAAGAAATCAATAGCAAAATTGTAGAAATTTACAGTACCCTTTTTAGCAGTTTTAGAAAAGTCGAATGGATCTGTCTACTTATCTATGAATAGAAGTTTTCGAAACATGTCCTTTAAGAATAGTAAACACAGTCCATCTAACAAAAACAGAGTTAACTTCTTCTCACCTTCTGTTCACGTAGAATAGTCTGGCAGTTTTCCAAGAATTTTTGCAACACCCACTATTTTACGCTATATTCTTATAGAATGAGAGATGTCAAACAATCTATCGAAGTTATTATTATTTCTACTACCCAACTTGAATGTTGTCAAAGTCGTTTGAAGTTCAATCGATTACTTTTCATTATCTTTAACTGTGTTTGTCTGTTTTGTTGCAACTTGGATCCGTTTTAAATCGCTTTCTATCTAAGATAGTTGCATATTGTATTTTCGTAGGGTCAATATTTTCTCGACGTGAAAAAGAAAAACGAAATTGTGTTCACTATCGTACATGAACTTGTCATTGCTGGAAAAATTGATCTATGCTAAGTTTTCCTATTTATATTTCACTTTTTGATGAAAAAAGAGAATAAAAAGTGTAGTGGTTAAAACAACAGAAAAAAGAGGAGAAGTGGATGGCGTGTGAATGAAAAGAAGAAATAACCCACACCCATACCCCACATGCCACACCCCACACCCACAGCTCACACCCACGCCCCACACCCACACCCCACACCCACACGCCACATCCCACGCCCACAGCCCACACTCACACCCACATCCCACACCCTGTGGGTGTGGGCGCGCGGGTGTGGGTTATTTCTTCTTTTCATTCACACCCACACCCATACCCACCCACACCCTCAATGTCTCTCTGTCTCAAATCAAATTCGCAGAAAACAAGAAAAGACAAAAGGTCAAAAGATCACATAGTTGAATACATAGCACAATTGAAATTCTTGTACAATATCGCTTGGAAACAGTGCTGAGTGTGAATGAAGAGAAGCTACAAATATTGACGAGTGCTCACACCCATATTCACATCTTCATGCCCAGTACCAGACAAGCCAGTTTAGAAGTTGAGATGTCATTAAAAGAAATCAAAACTCTATTCGCTCTTGTTCGAGAGCTTTGGCAAGATGTTGTGCCCCTTGAGCGCTGACTCCATTCCAACTAAGGTTGAGTGTGGTTAGTGTCTGTTTTGAACAGGTAGTGAATGATGGATAGAGAAGATGTGAATATTACTTTGTTGTGTTCAAGAGTTTTGGCAAGATATTGTGCTCCTTTAATACCAATTTTATTGCTACAAGGGTCGAGTGTGGTTAATGTTTACTTTGAACAGGCAGTGGATGATAGATAGAGAAGGTGAGGATATTACTTTGTTTAGTTCGAGAGCTTTGGCAAGATGTTGTGCTCCTTGAGTACCAATTTGATTGTTACGGAGACTCAGTGTGGTAAGTGTCTGTTTTGAACATGCAATGAATGATAGATTGAGTAGGTAAGGATATTACTTGGTTTTGTTCGAGAGCTTTGGCAAGATGTTGTGTTTCTTGATCACCGATTTGATTGAAATAGAGGCTCAGTGTGGTTAGTGTCTGTTTTGAATATGCAATGAATGATAGATAGAGTAGGTAGGGATATTACTTGGCTTGACTCAAGAGCTTTGGCAAGATGTTGTACTCCTTGAGCACCGATTACACTGTCAGTGAGGTCCAGTTCGATTACTATCTGTTTTAAATAGGAAGGAAATAATGGACAGAGGTGAGGATATTGCTTGGTTTTGTTCGAGAGCTTTGCTAAAATGTTGAATTCTTTCATCACTGATGTCATTCTCAATGAGGTTCGGTGTGTTTAGTCTCTGTGTATGGAAATAAGAAAATTGGAATGATGATAGAGCTCGCGCAGAGATATCTCAATGGGATGTTTAACTGTGTGTTGTTGGTTCAATCGGGACACCTTTGATTTACTTCATCGATATCGGAATGTTTTTTTTGAGAAAAAAAATCTCTGGGAAATGTCAGCAAGTATGTAAATTTTTGTGGAGAATGTAAGTTGCCTTCAAATTATTATGGGATGCATGACATGGATCTCAGATCTCAGGAATTAATGGTGAAGCCCAGTATCGGCTGTGAAAAATTAGGCAATAACAAACCATAATGTTCGTAAATATATAAAGTAGATAAATGAAAATGTCTCATCGATGGGAAAAGTTGTTCATGCTGTCACGATCGGTACACTGTTTTACTCTTTTCTGGAACTGATATACATTTTCGAAGACAATAGTGAGTGTTATTTCTAAGTTCAAGTTTTCGGGCTCCTCCCTCCCTCTTTCCACCCCATTACAGACATTAGCAATCAATAATAAAAGGTGTTAGATTTTAGAGAGTTGTTTTTGAAAAATTGATCAAGTTATAATTTTGAAAAATAATGAATATCATTATTTGTGACTTGATTAATATATATGATAGTGTGTAAGATCTACTCTAGATATCATAGATATGTGAAACACACTTATGTGTCAATCAATTCAATGATTCTAATAATAGGAATGATAAATGAAGAAAAACAAATTAAAAAACAAACAAAAAAATAATGAACGAATAGCAACAATGCAAACAAAAAATAGGGCGCCCATAGAAAAAGTTTTAAAAAAATTCTGTTCGAAATGCAGAAATGAGAGAGGTTCTTACTCTTGTGATTGATTATCCTGCAAAACAACTATAGTCTAAGAGAGATTTTTCAGTTTACATATTTTGTATTAGTTGAATGAGGCTAGAGAGCATATGTGAGTTCCATATTTCAGCCCCAAAGAGGCTGCACTAACAAGCTGTTTTTCTATTTCT